AACCTTGTAGTACTGTTTTAATTTTTAGGCTGCATATATGTATTATTTCAATACAAATTTAAACATTAGTTACACCTTATGAAACAAGTTAAGTATATAAGAACTTAATGTTAGAGGGTTTTAAGATGTTTTGAAGCAAGTTTTTTTTTTCTTTTATATCAATTTGGACATGATCATATAGAAACCTAAATCTAATGACATATTTGAGAATAATCCAATTTTCTTCCTTTCACTTTTTTTTTTTTTTGAGACGGAGTCTCGCTCTGTCGCCGGGGCTGGAGCGCAGTGGCCGGATCTCAGCTCACTGCAAGCTCCGCCTCCCGGGTTTACGCCATTCTCCTGCCTCAGCCTCCTGTGTAGCTGGGACTACAGGCGCCCGCCACCTCGCCCGGCTAGTTTTTTGTATTTTTTTAGTAGAGACGGGGTTTCACCGTGTTCGCCAGGATGGTCTCGATCTCCTGACCTCGTGATCCGCTCGTCTCGGCCTCCCAAAGTGCTGGGATTACAGGCTTGAGCCACCGCGCCCGGCCTTCCTTTCACTTTTAAGAGTCATCATAACTCATGATCCTTTATCCCTTGCCTGTTGGGATGTTTCTGATGGTTCTAGTGAATGCTCAGTTTGGGAACTAGAACTTCAAAGCTTTCCTCTTGGCAGGTGTTAGGAGGATAATCACCAGAATAGGGCCAGAATGTTCTGAGCTAACCCCAAGCTCTTCCCCAGCATTTAGCATTCATTGATGGCATCATCACTCCAAAAATCATCACTCCATCTCATGTAACCATGAGATGCCACTAACTCAAGGAAAAACTGCGGAGCACTTGGAATGTTTTAGTTAGGTTTATTGATTAGAGACAATAAAACTTCTACCTCTTCCATTAGCACACTTCCTCAGAGTATACCTGATGAAAGCCTATTATGAAAGAAAAGCAATTTATTACATTTCCTGTTTCATATATTCCTAGAAATCTTGGGGAGGCAGGTGATATAATATGCCAGAAATGGCAATAATCTATCAAACTCATTTTCAGGAAAATGAGTAGAAAGGTACATTGACTCTGGTACGTATTTATGTGTAAACTAAGAGGATATTGTCATAATATGGAGAGTTTAAGTGACAAACAGGTACAGAGACAGAAAGACATGCAGGGACATTGAAGGAAAAAAAAAGAGGAGAAGTGTATTAGTCTATTCTCTCACTGCTATAAAGAAATATCTGAGATTGGGTAATTCATAAAGAAAAGAGGTTTAATTGGCTCACGTTCCACAGGCTGTACAGGAAACATGATGCTGGCATCTGCTCAGCTTCTGCGGAGGCCTCAGGAAACTTTACAACCATGGTGGAAGGCAAAGGGGACATTAGACTGGGGTAGAGGAAGGTGCCACACACTTTTAAACAATCAGATTTCATGAGAACTCCATCACAAGAGCAGCACCAAAGGGAGAAATCCGCCCCCACAATCCAATCACCTCCCACTAGACCCTACCTCCAACACTTGGGATTATAATTCCATATGAGATTTGGACAAAATCCAAAGTGGGGAAAGGTTATAGATAAGGAAGAAAGAAATAGCAGGATTAAGGAAGGAAAAGAGAAGGGGAAGAATGGGAGAGATACAGGGTGAAACCATGTAGCATATGTGGCCATGTCCCCAGCCTCTCATGTTACCCGACATCTCAACAGCTCTCTCTGACCTGCCCATTTGTCTGCAGCCTAGTAGACCAGGGTATTCCAACTTTACCTCACACTCTAATCTTTTCACACACGGCCAGAACATTTCTTTCACAGTTCTTCTTTTACTTGGCCTGGGACCATAGGCCCCAGATGCCGAGGGCAATAGGCCCCAGCTTCATCTGCTTTTTGATAAGTAGTTCCAGCCTTCCTTCTGTTCTAACTCTAGGGGAAAAGCAGAAGAATATACAGCAAGCCCTATTCATTCTGGAATGGCTCCATGTGCCTGATGAAGATCCTTGCTCTATCTGTAGTCAGGGATGCCATAATCATAAATACAGCAGAGGTTGTTAAGCTAAAAGCTAGTTCACGACAACAAGCAAACTGATCTATACCACAGAACCCTACAAAAGGTCAGGGGGTGAGCCTTTATCCATGCATTGCACTATAACCAAACCCAAACACACTTATACTCACATTCCTCTCACCGTTGTGGGCCTGGTGGGTGAGAGGTGAGAGGGATCTGAGTATAAGTGTGGGTGTGTGTGGTGTAGTGCAGTGCATGGATATGTGTTCGAGTGTGCTTGTATGCGTTTCTCTTACCTCTGAGAGGTATCCTAATGTCTGATGGTCCTTGACTGTGAGTTCATGTATAAGGGAGAGGCTCTAAAAAGCCAGTTGGGAGCTCTGTCTGCATGGGCACAGCTTGGCAGCCAGTGGGCCTCACAAGGTGATTAGTCTAGGACACAAATGCATTTTTGTGAGATGAGATCAAATGTCCCCCAAAGATAGCTATGTCCTCATCTCCAGAACCTGTGACTGTATCAGGTTACATGGCAATAAGAAATTAAGGTTGTAGATGGAATTAAGGTTGCTAATCAGTTGACCTTAAAATAGGGAGATTTTCCTGGATTATCTGGGCTGCCCAGTATTATCACAAGGGCACCTAAAAGTGGAAGAGGTAATTAGAAGTAAGAATCAGACAGATGGCAGTGTGGAAAAGACTTGGTCTGATGTTGCTGACGTTGAAGATGAAGATGAAAGAAGAGAGCCACAAACCAAGGAATGTGGGAAGCCTGTAGAAGCTGGAAAAGACAAGTGAACATGCTTCCCCAGATCTCCCAGAATGCCAACACCTTGCTTTTAGTCTAAAGAGGTCCATTTTGGACATTTGACCTGCATAAGTGTAAGATAATTTGTGTTGGTCTAAGCTGCCAAGTTTGTGGGAATTTGTTGCAGCAGCAGCAAGCAACTAATACACCCCCAATGAGGATGTGTATAGGCCTTTTCTTTTGCCCAGAAGTTTCTCCAGAAGAGAGCACATGTAATCCTGGCTTCTCAAAATCTGGGAACCAAGCAGGAGAAAAAGATAAGGGTTTTACCATACCACTCACAGACTTGTCTGTAAGCCCATGTTTCACGTGGCACTGCATCTCTCTCCAGCTCCCAGGATGGTGGCAGTTAATCTTGTTTTCAGTTCAACCTTACAGTCTTTTCTTCAGATGTACCTCCTTTCTCCAATTTCTGAGCCTTTATAGTGTTCTGTGGTATAAATCAGTTTGCTTGTTGCTGGATTTCTTCACCCCCTCACTACATTATAAAGTTTTATTTGCTTCATTACATCAAATCAGTTCTCTTTCATGAGTCCACCACCCATCAGCTAAAATGTATTGACATTTCTATCTGCTGTCACTGTCCAATTGGGTTTAAAGATTATAACATTGTTACATTTCATATTTATTTTACTGGGACTTCAGAAAGGAACAGAGACAAACAAGCCATTTGATTCATTATGTTGAACTGGGGTTCTTATTATCTCTATTTTGTATTGTATAGATGAGAGAACTGAGACCATGAGTGGCTAAGCAATTTGTGAGATTTTAAATATAATTCTGGCTGACTCCCAAGTCCATGCTCACATGAATTTATAGTCTGAAGCCGTTAGCATATGAAAAGCATTTGGAACTCAGCCTCCTAAATTGAACACTAGCAGCTCTGCGGTGTCCTGGTGAATGTAGGGCTCCACAAGAACATTTTGACTTGCTCAAAATGCATGTTATTAAATCATAAGGCACAGAAATTCCCTTGTATCTGAAAAGTGACTACCTAGATATGAACTATACCTCCTAACTCCCCCCATCCTCTAGAAAGCTCCATGTGACTGGTTCTTGTCAGTGGAACACGAGCAGAAGTAAAGCATGTTATTTCTAGGCCAAAGAGATCAAGAAGCAGGTTGACCTCTCCATTCTCTGCCTTCTTCCATCTGCCTATTGGAGGCTGATAAGTAACTATTGTGAACTAGAGGTGAACTTCTGTTGTTTTAATCCACTGGTCATTTTGAGCTAGTTTGTTATAGCAGCTAGTATTAGCTCAACTCCCTCTGCTATATTTATGATGCAAAGCTAAAGCACTAGATTAGGGCAGCATTTATTCAGAGGCAGGAGGCCCTTTTGTTTCTCACAAAATCACCCTCTGCTAGGTAATTTGTACATCTATCCAAAGATGGGATATTTTGCCATTTTCCAAAGGTGCTGTGTAGGTTAACGATGGCCCTATACTCATGGGGACAAAGCATGAGTTATTCCTCATGAATGAGGAAATTCAGTAAGTAGGAGCAAGAAGTCCACATTTAGTCTCTGCCCTTTGGCTATATCATCAGTAGATATGAGAAACTAGATAGTTTAGAATGGTCCAAGTACAGTGCTGAAGAATTGAATTTGATAATTTGAGAAGTCAATGGTGTTTGAAAAATCGTTTTGAAATCTTGGCTCTGAGTGTGAGAATGTGGTTTTTCCCTCCTATAGTTTAAAAGCTAACTCTGCTAAAACCCAGGAGGGATAGGAAATGAATCTGGTTACAAACCAAAAGCTAAATTGCCCAGCCTGATCTAATTCTTCCAGGAAAAGTGCAATGCAATGGGGAAATAAGGAATGGCTAGGCAGAAAATCCAATTAGTCTTTTGCAAACTGAGTTTGCTTACACTTTTTAAGTTAAAAATATTCTTTAACTTGCCCTTTTCCTTCTTATCCAAAACTACGGCCTGAAGGTTATGTGACGAAAATGCATTTTCATAAGCACCTTCATTTCACCATGAATTTATCTATAGGATACTGAGATCTTAGTCCAACATTTCCAGGGTCTGTCTTCACTTGAGTCCAGGAATTCAAGATCAGCCTGGGCAATATAGCAAAACCCAATCTCTACAAAATTACAAAAGAATTAGCCAGGTGTGATGGTGTATACCTGTAGTCCGAGGTACCTAGGAGGCTGAGGTGGGAACATCACCTGAATCCAGGAGGTCGAGGCTGCAGTGAGCCGTAATCATGCCACTGCACTCCAACCTGGGCAACAGAGCAAGACCCTGTCTTAAAACAAACAAACAAACAAACAAACAGAAAACAAAAAAACATGCTTATTATGTCTGGAGGCACAAATAGGCAGCCAGTTTTTCTGAGCCCTGGGAAGTAAACCCACAGAAAGATGATGGATACAATATGGTTCAGAGCATGGAAGTGTTCCTGCTTAACACGGAATTTTCCTGCTACAGAGGCACAAATAGTTCTTCTCCGATTTAAAGCAGTAATTACTTCCCTGGCTTGCCCACATCAGGCTGTCAGCCTTTGAGTACTGTTGCTGCTGTGTCACTGTCAGAATCAAATTACTAAAAAGGTCAGCATCATTAATATGTGGCTTGAAAGGAGTGAAAATGTCAGACAGAAAATCTATGAGCTTCTAGGGCCTTTCGTCAAAAACTTTGCTCTGGTTTATGTTACTGTTACTATTACTTACTTCAAGGGTATAAACCATCTGTGGAAGCTTACAAGCCATATGATTATCTAACCTCCTTGTTCCTGGATAGAATATACTTCTTGAGAATTCCCAGCCAGATAGAAACTCCTTGACATCAGAGATTATTCTTTGGATTTCAGACAGCAGTTGCCTAAATACATTCACAAATACTTAAGCATACATTTATGTGTTTAAAACTTACACACAGCTGGAAATATTGTGGGAAATAAGGGTCCACGGCAGAAGTTCTGGGACTTAAAAACTTTAAAGAGCAGGCCAATAATTTCAGTTGCAATCCCTGCTGAACCACTGACACTTTGTATGATCTTACAGCAGTCACTTAGAAATTACTAGCTTTTAAATTTTCTATAATGAAAATTGCTTTGTCTTTGATGTAACCAGAAAAAACAAACCTGTAATATATAATTGAATCATAATATTCAGAATTTTTTTTCATATAATGAGACCCATTAACTGTCAGTTTGATACCTGGTCTTAATTAGAAATTAAGTTATTTCAGAACAATGATAAGTAGTGGCTCCTAAAATTGCTAAGAACTCTAGCTTATACATTAAAAGCACTGAATTTTCATTTCATCTAGTTTGATGCTGCTAGCGTGAATCATGACTGGATAATCTGTGTTTGCTTATTTTCTTGCTTACTTGTTTTCTTCCATCTCTCTAGGCCTCAATTTCCTTATTTTAAAAGTTGATATCCAAGGTCTTTTGTAGCTTTAAAATTCTATGATTCCAAAGAAGATAGTATAAATGTAGCAGCGTGTAGTGTATTTCAACCACCAGCTTGTCATGGTGAACAAAACCCCCACTATCTGAATCATCGCTTTAAGACTATGAGTTTCAGATTGGCTTCATGCTGCCATCTTTAAATATGTAGCACCAGATAAAAGCAAGCCATTACAATATAATTCTTTTTTTTTTTTTTTTTTTGGTCATTTGTTTATCAAGCAACTTAGCTATGGATTAGCAGACAGGGAACTCTTTAAGATTTAGGAACCAAGAATGGCCTATACTGGTGTGAGTATAATGTTTCAGAATATGTGTTGCCTGGGAAAGGAACAGTGATGACAAATTCCCCTTGCTTTACTACAATTTTGTCTAGAGTGGTCCTGGTTCTAAACTGACTTTGGAAATATAATAAAATGCATTAGTCAATATCAAAATTATTTATTTGCACTAGAAAAGAAAACAAGGATTAATATGATAAAGACACTTCACTAGTCATTATTACTACTAGTAGTTATATTATTACTGTAATCATTAATATATAATTATATTATTACTAATATAATTCAAATACCTATAGTAATTATATTAATAACTATATAGTATAAGATGTAGTAATTAATAATAATATAATTACTAATACTACTTAGTATTAGAAGCAGAGGCGAGAACAAAGTCATGAAACATTAGTAAAAGGAGTTCAAAGGCAGATAATTCCATCTTCTCATTTTCCTATACATTTATTAAAATGTTGGACTCTTTCCCAGAGATTTTACATTAGCCTATTTCTCAAGATCTATATGAAATAACATTTATTCCATAAAATCATTGATCTTCCCCAAAAGATATGCTCTCTTTCCTGCATTCAATTATACAAGCACTTATTGAAAACTTAGTCTAAATCAAGCCCTGCGTTTGATGTTATATAAGAATCTTATTTACTCCCCCTCACTCCATTTCCTAAAACCTTCATGGCATTTTGCTTATACTGATACTTAACCTTTTGTTTATATTTAAGACACATATCATGCTCTAACCTGATCAGGGTGCACTTGTTTGCCAGCTTTATTGCAAGCCTAACACTATCCTTTGGACATTATAGGTGTTCAATAAACATTTGGAGAATGACAATTGAGGCAGTAATCACTTCCATTTGTAGACCAGTAAGCAATGAGAATAAGTACTTTTACCTCTAAAATTGTAATGCAATTGAATGAGAAAATACAAATTGATCTATAATAACTCAATTACATAGACCTTTGGGGATAAAGTTTGTTGCATGTGCTTCTATTACCAATGCAAATAAATAATTACACCTCTTTAAAACCATACTTAGGTTAAGTCAGGCAAAACAGCAATTCAGTCTCACCAACTGATCCGCTAGCATTAGCTACAAAACTGCCCTTTGAATCAAATGTTCTTAAGACAGCTGAGGATCAGGGAGCTATGAAAACAACCTTGTAAATTTTCAGCCTTGCTTGTGCACGAAGAAAACTCTCTATAAATAACTCCCACAGATAAAATTCAAACTCTGCAAGCCTTGGGGAAAAGTCAGGGGATTATCTAAATTGACTTCCTGGGTGCAAATCTGGCGGAGATAGGAGATTTGAGATCAGCCCCACTGGTTGGGAATTTCCCTAAGCTATTTCATGTGAGTCCTGATTAGGTCTTGGGATGCCCCACTGAGGGCGGCTGCAATTTATTGTGCTCTAGACACCAATAGTGGCTAATAGAGGAACAGGGAATCTGGGCATAGGTAGCAGTGTGGGAAGGGTGGGAAGGAACTTTACCAAGATGTAACTAAATGTAATTAAATAGCTGACTATCCACTCTTAAAGCATTTTACCCTAGTTGTAAGCTAAAAGTTAGCCTGCAACATTTTCAGTGGATGCAGAATAACAGCCTCTTCTTGCACTGGCATCACCCTGTGAGAATTGGGATCCGTGGAACCAGGTGACGGGAACACGCAGTGGGTTGTATTGCAGGAGAAGAACACTGAGTTTAGGGAACCTGAATCTTTTCTAATTGGTCACTAAGCTTTCCTGGTCTTTGCTCTGGAGTGAGACACTCTCTCCACTTTCCAGGGTGTTTACTATACAAATGAACTAGAAGAGATCATTTGCAACAAAGTCCATGACTCTGTTCACAAGAAAGGCAGAAATGTGAGACTCATGGAGAAATCTCTCCCAACACATGGCTCTTATCTTCTAAATGGCAAAGATAAATATGTTGAATGAATCAAGGGATAAATGTGTGAAGTTAGATAGTAATTAGGGATATGAAAAAAATTATAGTTTGGGCATGAAGATTGATAAGGAAAGCTGTTTTCAATAGGTTTGTCAGGGAAGACTTTTAGGATCAGGTAACAGTTGAGCAGAGATCTGAATAAACTGAGAAATACAGACATGTAAATATTTGCCCAAAGAGCGTTATAGGCTTAAAGGCCTATATGTTAAGGCCAAATGCAGGAGAAGAATGTTTGATGTACAGTAAGAAACCCAGTGGATTGAGCAAAAGGGTGAGTAGGAGGTAATGAGGTTGGAGAGTGGGTTAGGAACCAGATCATGCCCTATGCCCAGACTGGCCCTATTATGCCAAGAGAAGAATCTTCATTAGATTCTAAGTTTGATGGGTTGCATTTTATAAGTAAATAAATGAGCCTGGGCAGCTGACCCAGGATCTCAAGCTGGGCTAAAGTCGCTAAACAATGAGAGGCCCCAGGTTCTCCAAGAGAAGCGCACAACCGGGACACAGTGAAGTAACACAACTGCTTTGTCATTCACCACTCTTTCTCTAGTTCTAGCTCTCCCACACCCGGTCTCTTCCCCAGCGTCCATCTATCCATTTTTCTCTACTATCTTCTAGTTCATTCTCTTTACACATTTCTTGTCTTGATAGCTCCTTACTGCAATTCCCATTTCTCAAGTCTCCTGTCTTACTGCCCTTCCACCCCATCGTCAGCATATGAAAGCCTCTTCTCTCTCTCCTTACCTTTGCATCTCCCCGTAATGATGGTCTCCCTCATTCTCTGAAGCCCCATGGTTGGTGCATCTCTCATCAAGGAGCTGTGGGAAAAGAGAAGAGGCTTCCCTCCTTCACATGTTCAGGTGGGGGTTAAATACCTTTCACTTTTCAGGCTGAGGTCAGAGCATGGTACCCCATGGATATTGGGGGAAGGGAAGAATGAAGCCACACCGTGGTAGAAAGGACCTATTGTCCCCAGTCCCTTGGCAAGAGCCGTGCCAGCACTTGCAAACAGTGTCTGGCACCTGGTAGGTGCTTTGCAAACGTTTGTGAATATAATGAATGTGCTATTATAATTATCATAGTTGTCTTGGAGTATATGGGGTGAACATTTACATCTTAATTAGGCAGTATCTCAAAGCTTTTTTTTTTTTATTTTTTATGGGCTCAAGGATAAAAGTTATTTGCTTCATTTTGTTTTTTACAGGTAATGATTACCATAGCAGCACAGAAGCCAGTTTCTGTGTTCTTACCACCAAACCGTAGAACTTGTGACAGACAAGATATAAACAGCATCATCTCAGGTGACATTTCTAGACAAAAACAACAAAGTAATGCATTGGGAGATCCAAAACGAATGGCAAGTCAGTTTACATCTCTAAAAGTTGGCTGCAGTAAATTCTCATTTTTTCTGACTTTCATTATAATTTTAAACACGTCCTCACCCCCCATGCCTTTCTTCCCACTATGTCACCACCTGCCGTTAACCTGTCACTGGGACTGGCAGGCTGAGGTCAGTTTTGCTCCTTTATCGAACAACCCTCAAGGTCCTTCTAGGTGCAAAGAATTGGGCTAGGTTCTGGCACTCAGACCTGCTGCTCACCTGCAGAGAGCCAAAGGGTAGTGGAGGAACAAACTTGTGCAGATAAGCACGGTCCAGGGTTGCAGGCCTGCGATGGGGATCCTCATGGGGTGCAACGAATGCCCAGAGGATGGGGGATCAGTTGTCCATAAAGGTGAAGAGTAGAGTTGGGAAAAGAGCCAGAAAGGGCTTTATGGAGTGTGTGACACTTTAGTGAGCTGCATTCTGAAGGAGAGGTGTTTCCTAGGTGGAAAGGTGCAAAAGCAGAAATAGACAAGACTTAGCTTCCTCAGGTAATTACAAGCAATTCAGTATGGCAGCAGTGGAGGATGCTGGGCACTGCTGGGCACTGCTGGCAGTGAGGAGATGGGCCCAGAAAGAGATGAGGTTGTAGAATTAATCAGTTGGGAAGTTGGGAAGCACTTCTGCAGATGTTCATGGAGGAATTGTGTAATGCTACTGTCCTGGAAGAGCTTACCAAGTGCAATGCTTGTCTTTCTTATTTGGTTACACTAAACTTTAAAAGAAGGAATTAACATCTCCATTGGAGGAATGTACAGGTATTACATATGTAGATATGTACATATGTGCACAGAAGCCCACCCATGGCTGCACCCCAAACATTATAGGAAGACAGTAGTTGTTATTTCTTCAGAACATAGTTTCCCCCAAAAAAGATTTTACATTTTTTAATAAAGTTTGCTGAAGATTTTTTTATTACAAAAGTTAACACACTTTTTTTATTATAGAAAGGTAGAAAAAGAAAGTTAAACCAAAATAGAACAGAGAGAAATAAACATATTTATATTTCCCAAAGGAAGTTATTAATATTTTGATAATTTCCTTGTAGTCTTTTGTCCTATGCACAAGTTTAATTTGTTTGTTAACCAAAGTGTTAAGTCTGAATAGACTATACAGAAGGAAATAGTTCAATGGGAGTTTACTTCAAATAGATATAGACAGTCATAAAGGTCATTCAGCAATATTTATTAATTTTCTATTATGTGTCAGACACAGTGCTAAGTGTTGCGATAAAGCAATAAACACAATAGGCATAGTGACTACCCATGCAAATTACCGTAGCAATGGGAAGGACAGGAAATAAAAGAGGTGTCATGGGGACAGGCAAAGGCTGGTAAAACTTTTGGCTCCCTTAGCAGATACTCCCCAATACCACTCTGCCCTTTCCCTTCATAGTTATGAAGTCACTGAGTGCTGGCATTGGAAAGGCCTTTGAGCTCTCGTAGTCCAAATAATAGTATTTCTTGGTTGGGACATCTTTAAGCCTGGCTTTTTCTCCCCCAATTCCTGAAGCATTATTGGCTTCATTAAGCTACCCTTCCTCTGGTAGCCAGTGCCCCCTCCACTACCTGCCCCCTGCCACCATGGCAACCCAAAGAACAGGAAACCGGAGGTGGCCCTGCCAGAGCTGTCAATCCCAGCAGGCATCTTCCTTCCTGCCACAGGGGTGATAAGACACAAGGCCAAGGGGAGGGAGCCCCTCTGGGCTGAACACTCCATGTGTTGTCCTTTGTCTTAGAAAAACCTTCACTCTTCCTCCCCTACCAAAGTAGCCAGTCACCACCAGCATGGAAAACAAATAAATAAGCTAAGCAAGGTCACAGTTATTTCTGCTGTTGTGAGATCCAGCGTCACATGTAAACAGAGTTGGTGGTTTCTAATCCCCCACTGCCCAACACAAATCCTATTTCCCTCCTCAGGCAGCACATCTCAAAATGTAGCTTTAGAAAGCCATATCTTTGAGTCAAGGGACTATAGTTTCTATATATCTCCTGCCTAAATGAACTAAATATTCACTACATAAACCACTCTCACACCATGATTAGTAATTGATCACATCATGGTAATGTACTCACACCAGATTCCACTGCAGCCTGTTAAGCATCATTATGACACACTGGCAGGTCAGTGTTGGATAATGCAGGGATAGGCCCGTGTTAAGGACCAGGGAGCCTTGGTTGTGTTATCACAATGGGGCCTGAGAAGCCTGAGACAGCAAGAGAGCCAGGAAGTCTAAAGGGTTTGAGGAGAAACGATCCAAAAGGAAACTTTCCTTACTTCATCTATTTCACACCATACACATTCTGACACATCAAGGGTGTTCTCACAGTAACTGGCAATTCTACGAACTTTAGAATCCATTCAGGCAATCACATGTCTCTGTCAGCTGTACTAAATGTCTTTGAAGCTGGGAAATTCCTTTGACTCTGGTTAAATATTACACAAAACATGCTTGCTTTGAATGGGCAAACCACAAACTGTACAATAAAGTGTGGGAGAAAGAAAGTTGGACTTGGAGCCACGAGATATGAGTTTGAGTCCTTTCTAGTGGTCTGACCTTGAGTAATTACTGCTCTCTAGATTTTAATATCATTCATAATTGTGCTCTACTGTAATCTCCTATATAAAATATTTCCTGGCCTCTCTTTTCTACCAGGCCCTAGGCTGAATTAATTTTATATATATATGTATGTGTATATATATGTATGTATATATGTATATAACAGATATATATGTTTTATTTACATGTTTAAAGTACACATTTATATATTTAAAATACATTAAATATATACTTTATAATAAAAATATATACATTTACATATATTTAAAAATTTATAAATATATACATTTTATAATATAAAACTTATGTGTATAAGTAAAATGTATTTTAATATAAATTTTTAAAAATATATAAGCATATTGTATATTTTTTTTCATCTCCCTCACTCAACTGTGATTGCTGCAAGATTCATGGCTTTGATTCCATGGTATTACTCTGACTGAACCACAATACAAAAGTCATAATAAGCACTTCTTAGGGGCTCTTAGGAGGCTCAAAGGTGATAGTACTTAAGCAAGTATTTCATAAACTATAGGGCTCCGTGTGATTGTAAGGTGTGGTCATTATTTGCATAGCAATATTATTTCTCAGTGTAGCACATTTCATAAAAATCCAGGAACTAAAGGGAAGAAAACAAGAAGCAGTCAACAGTGATTAACTCTAGGGGTGGGACTGGGAGGTAATAGGGAAGGTGAAGAAGAGGGGAGGGGAGGGAAGGGGAGACGAGGACAAAAGAGGTCATATTCTTAATTTGTATTAATTTTCAATATTAGAAATGTGGATAATTTTTATATTGATATGTCTTGGTATTTTTTCAAATTGGAAAAATAAATGCACACAATTCTAGGAAGCTACTGCAGTATTTACCTGGCATGGGGTCCATGGACATCTGTCAAATGTTAACTGAAACCAAAGTCTCACTGTACTATTTATTACATTATTATTGACAAGAATAACAATACCTTTCTAGCTTTTATATTGCACTTTAAGCCTTCTGAGATGATGTTTATTATTTGCTCTATTCTTGCAACAATCCTGATGTTATTAGGGGAATTATCATTAACTCTATTTAATGAAAAGAAAAAGTAAGACCACAGAAACTTCATAAGTTGCCCAAGATTCCAAACACAGTGGACAAGTCAAAACTAGAATTCAAGAGACCTGGTTAGAGCCATCTGCAGTGGGTGAAACTTTTGGAGCCCTAAGGATATGTGCAATAGTCTCCAAAGACATTTTCTGTGCCCTCTGTCCTTGGCAGAGACCCGGGATCCTAGAAAAGCTGTTACCTACAGACAGATGGCTTCTGATATCTTATTTACTGCCACCCATTGTATCAGTCACTGAGTTTCAATGCATTGCTGAAAAAACATTGACAACCTACTGGCTTGAATCTGGACCCTGCTACTAAATGAGCTGCATGACTTTGAATAGTCACTTAACCTTTCTGAAAAGTCAGTATCCTTCCTTATTAAGTGGGAATGACACCACATGGCAGGCTCAGGGATGTTGTGAGCATCTAAGGAGATAATGTATGTGAAACTGCGCTGTAAACTGTAAGACATTTTGTAAATGTCAGATATCTTATTTGCTTACATGCTTCTGGAGGCTACTGTGCAAAGGCACAGATTTCCACAGCCACCAAGGAAAGGAAATCTAGGAGGAAAAAGATAAAATCACTCTTAAAAGGAGGAAAGAACTATTCCTACTATATGAGCCTCCTCAACTTGCAATGATAGAACCCCAGTGTTCTGTAATGTCTATTTACTTTTTCCTTGCTGTTCTCTTCTCTGCATATTATTCCAGCTGTGACAGTCACTCCATCAGTGAAATTATCAGAGCAAATAAATTTCACTCTCTGGGTCCTTTGACTGAAGTGCCACAATAGGATAAAAAGTATTGTAAATGCCTCTATCCTCAGTTACTGAAAGGGAAGCATCAAAATATTCACCTTCCTATTAAGTTTGATAACATTTCTTTTTATTAATGAATATAGGGACCTACAATCTGTCATCACAGTGTTGACTGAAAGTGTGGATTAGCTAGAACATGGAATCCCGCTATGTATTTGATGGTGCTTCAAAATCTTTCTGATAATGGCTATTAAAAAAGTCAAAAAATAACAAATGCTGGTGAGGTTGCAGAGAAAAAGGAATGCTAATACACTTTTGGTGGGAATGTAAATTAGTTCAACCATGTGGAAAACAGTGTCTTTCATCAAAGACCTACAAACAGAACTACCATTTCACCCAGCAATCCAATGCCCATCAATGGTAGACTGGATAAAGAAAATGTGGTACATATACCCTATGGAATACTATTCAGCCATAAAAAAGAATGAGATTATGTTCTCTCCATAGGATGGATGGAGC